AGAGACGGCAATTCATCGACAAGGAGCAAACTTCCAGAAGTTCCACCTACGTTTCTGAAAACGGTTTCTGGAGCTCGAGTCCTGCACATAGCAGTGGCCTAAACCCTAAGAAGTGTCAAACTGAAGACTCTATTAAACTTAGATGTGAGTAGCGTTTTTTTAGTAGTTGAACCTAGTAAGATTATATTCCTTATATAAAATACTATACCCGAAAGGAGGATAGAATCTTACTCTATGTTGGGTACCATAGTATCCCCAAATAAAACACTACACAAACAACCCCTATATAATCCCAGTGTCCATTTCATGTTCCATTTTCTTTTCCATTTGATTCTCCATTATAGGGCCCTAAACCCTATAATATTGGGTACCATAGTATCCCCAAATACAGTACTACTCGCATGTGCATGTCCAAGACCTCATTGAAGAAGATCATGGCTCATGCCCTTCTCAGCCATTTCTGCCAACCCTCACCCCTTCATGGAGATATAGGGTTTAGGGTTTAGGGCTTAGGGCTTTCTAAGGCGTGGGTGGGCTTCTCATTGCTGGCAGGTAACTAAATCAATCGGGGGGTGGAGCGCACTACATTACGTCAAACGACGGGCGGATCAAACTCAGGTGAGGGGTGTCTCAATCTTCCTACTGCTGCTTGATAGGGAGTGGGGGAGTGAATATAGGCACCAGTATCGCGGCTAACCCTAAACCCTAAAACCCTAAATCCCTAAACCCTAAACTTATGGGAATTCACTCTCCAACTTTCCCTTAAACACCAGTAGGTCTTTCTAGCTGTTGAGTTTAGGACCCGTTGATTGCGGTGCGCCCTTTTCCTGCGGACTCAACACCTTGGTGTGGCAAGGAAGTACATTAACATATACCTAGTACTATGGGGTTTAGGGTTTAGGGTTTAGGGCTTAGGGTTGGGGTTATATTGGGATCATGCAAAAGGAAATGGAAACTATTATCATGGGGTTATTTAGGGTCTTATAGGGGCTATATAGGGATAATGGAAAAGAAAATGGAAACGACTATTTAGGATTTAGAGTGTAGGATTATAGTTGCATATAATACGGCTCTAAGAAGATACAAAGACAGTTGTCTGTTGTTGTCCCATCTGCCCTGCTGTCAGCAAAACAACTTCGATGAAGCTCCGAACCACCGGACCATCAACCCTAAACCCTTTATAAGCCCTCTATTCCCTATATAACCCCTACATAGTCCCTTTATAACCCCTAAGCCGGTATCGTGCCTGGGACATGAACGTGGATTGTATTCTCGCCGCAGGAGGACAAGGCCTCACAACAACTGGCACATCAAATTGCTCTCACATGAGCCATTATCCAAACTCCTACGACTTTAACCCGCCCTAATAGCCCCCAGGGCTTAGGGTTTAGGGTCTACACTTCGTAACCCGTATGATACTCTCTGAATAACCCCCTTTGAGGAGTTTAGACTACAGCTCACATGGCACTCCCTTGCTCTCCAGGACTTCCACTTCTCTAAAGTCGTTTCCGTGATAGTAATAGCGATAGTATGAATTGAAAAGTAATAATAACAGCAATAGCAGTAATGAATAGTGATAGTAAGAGTTATAGTAACAATAACAGCAATAGTAGTAGTTGGAAACTTTGGGTGACGTGTTCTTCCAGTAGACTAGTACCCTTCTGCTGCAAGCCAACACGTAGCTTCTGCACCCTGCGGATACAAATACTATGTTTCCAAGCCCAGGACGCAAAGCCTTCAAACGAGCCATAGTTTTAACGCCTTAAAGGGGGCTATAAAAAGGATTATGTAGGGGACTACTATAGGGGATATGCAGAAAATACTACGAGTTTAGACTACAGCTCATATAGACCCAATATACTGCAGCAGTTCCCATGTTCTTTCCCATTATTCCCTCCTACAACCCCTAAACCTTAAACCCTAAACTCTAAACCCCAAACACCTAACCCTAGACCCCTAAACCCCAAACCCCAAACCCTAAACCCCAAACCCTAAACCCTCAACCCTCAACCCAAAACCCCAAACCCTAGACCCCTAAAGGCATGCCTGCAACTTTCGCACACAACCCATCCAGAAGTTAGTAAAGGCTCACTCCTAGGCCATAGAACTAGGGTTTAGGGTTTAGGGGGTTTAGGGTTTAGGCCTTTAGGGCTTAGAACTTAGAACCCAAAACCCAAACCCTGAACCGCAAAGCCTGGACACGAAATCCTATTATTACTATTGGTTACCTGTAATTGTTAGTATTTCTACTATTGTAGTTTCCATCTTCTTCCAGTACTCCTATAGGTATACACTTTTTTTAGGCCCTACTCACCCCACTAAATGGCTGTTTCCATTTTCTTTTCCATTATTCCTATATCCTAAAGCCTAACAGCGAAACCCTAAACCCTAAACCGAGCCAAACCTTGAAACTGGGCCTGGGCCGCTTCTTCATGCGACAGTCCTCCTTGACCTACAACTCGGTGCGCCTCCTGGGAGGAAGGAAAAACATTGTGAATGTAGGGGTTACCCCTTCAATGGAATATTATATATTCGGGGGGTATGTATTCTTAGTATATTAGGAGGATATGTATAGGCGCAGATCCAAAGTTGTCTCGAAGGGGCTAGATGGCACCACAGCTCCACTCAACAGGATGCACACTGTCAAATACTAGATCCACTCAACAGGGTTGAATGGCGGCGTCTCAAACCCCTTGTGATGTCCAAACATGAGCTCTGATCTTGACAGCACCGGCGAGACACCACAGGGCACACCAAGAATCCTCAAGGCGACGAAAGGGGCAGCTTCAATTGCTCGATACACCCCTAGGCCGCGCTCCATGCTGTTCCCCATGATTGAGAAAGCTCAGCTGCATATCAGCAAAGTCTAAACTCCTTAAAGGGGGATCTGCAGGGGATTATCTGGGGGACTACTATAGGGCTTATTGAGGGGGATACTAGGAGTTTAGACCATAGCTCATATGCCTAATAAGAATATGTCAGTACAATGTTCGGCAACATCCCTGCAGAGTGCTAACGCATTCTGACCCACATAAGCCATCGTCTAGACTCCTAGTATCCCCTTTAGTAACGCCTAGTATTCCCCGATAGAAGCTCTTATATAACCACCTTTAAGGAGTTTAGACTGCTTCCCTCCTATAGTAACTACAGTAGCCCCCTGGATAATCCCCTGTAAAATCATCTCTAAGGAGTTTAGACCCCTAAATCCTAAACCCTTCACCCGACACCTTAATCCCCTATATCACCGCCCATGGCTCCCCCTTATGTTCCTATAGTAGCCCCCTATATACTAACCCTAAACCCTAAGCCCTAAACCCTAAACCCTAAACCCTAATCTATACCCCCTTTATGGAGTGTAGATTATGGCTCAGCCCCTTCCTGTGCGTTCGGCTCCGGGATAAGTCCCATAGGAACAAAGGAGCCGGACTCGTCACCTGGCTAATTATGTCCTAGAGTTTAGGGTTAGGGTTTAGGGTTTAGGGGGTTATCTGTAGTCTCCTTAGACTTATACTAGAAACAATATTTTAGCTAATTCAAAAACAATAAAAATACAAATAATTCCTAAGTAGACCACAGCTATTATTACCAGTACTAATATGCCTACAATTCTTCTTCAGCATGAAAATTATTGGGGTTTAGGTTCAAGTTACCATAATACGGGTATAGAGTAGAGAAAAGAATTTGCTTACTATAATGAATTAATCTAAGTTCCTTGACTGCAACCCAACTTGTTTCTGAACTGTACTGCGACCCTGTTAGTATCGCTGTGGTCTCCAGTACTGGCGACAAATAACTTCCTAAGCATGAACAAAAGTCTGGTACCACTGCTCAACCATCTAATATAACCCTAATATAGCCCCAATATAGCCCTAATATACCCCTAATATAACCCCAATATAGCCCTAATATAACCCTAATATAACCTTAATAATGTTTAGCACAGCTGAATTCTTGCCAGCACGAATAGCCTGGGCATAGGTTGCTAAACTACACTACAGGTGCTGCTACAATGCTTGTTGCCTGGCCAAGGGCTCATAATGTAAATAGTACTAGTGATAGTAATAACGCTAATCATGAGTATAGTAATCATGACAAGAATACTTGCCAAGGCTGTTGTGAAGACCCGCTGCATGCGCAAGGCAGGTGTTCAAAAGTGTTGGTAGGAGCCGGTCAGGAGGATACTCAAGATTCGGGCCGTAGTCTTTCGTATGTCAGATGGTCCAGACTATACCCCATATTTATCTACTCAAGGGGGACCCTCAACCCTAGACGCTAAATAGTAGTTTCCATTTTCTTTTCCATTATCCCAATATATCCCCAATCAAACCCCAAATCCTATATAACCCCATTATAGTAGTTTTCATTTTCTTTTCCATTGTCCCAATATAACCTCCATATAACCCTACATAAATCCCTATAGTCCCTATAGTTTCCATTTTCTTTTCCATTATCCCAATATAACTGAGGTGGCAGCTACGTAACTTCGTCCTATGACTTCCAGGTGCAAGACGCTCTACTCTGGAAACTCTGGGCTTCACACTCCCTGTCTATGTTCCGGGTTATATTGGGGTTATATTGGGGTTATATGGGGGATGATGGAAAAGAAAATGGAAACTACTATATTGGGGTTATTTAACAGGTGCCTACGAACTGCGGGTAAGGCTGGCGTGGTATTTGACACCGTCGGTTTGGGGATCCCCTTCAGAGTATGGCCCTCAAACTGTAAAGATCACAAGAACGACCTTCAATTTTGACGACCGCGAACACGCTACAGGATATCAATCCCGCGTATCCCAGCTATCACTACATCATTCGCCGCAACAATGACAAGTACACTTGTGTAACGACACTGGAGAAACTAGACAAACTGTTCTTCGTGAAAACAGAACGATACGGCGGCTGTGATCAACCATAACGATATAGCCATGGCAAAAACTATAACGACGGTGGCAAGCTGCAACCCAAGCATGTCACATCATGCTAAAACGTGGCAGCATGGCTGTAGACGTATCGCACGCAGGTGTACTCCTGACAGTAGGCTTTCCTAGTACAGGTAAGTGCCCAAACACCTCATGTGGCACTCTTGAACGTTTATAGTATAGGTGCCTGGGCAATGCCAATCTTCTGCACCCTCAGAGAACTTATAATAATATACATATTCATAATAATATTCATACAAATATGAATATTACTATTAATACTAATATGAATACTAATATTAAAACTAATATTAGTATTAATACCATCTGCATAAAGAAACATCGAGGCGCGCACTACATGGCGTGTCCCGTCTGGATCCTCTGAAATCGGCATGACCTGTCTATGTTCCGGATTGAGGGGTTTAAGGCTTCTGGCTTACGGTTTAGGTTTTAGGGCTCTGCGCCAAACGCGGGGTGCATTGCAGGGACATTATAAACGTGAAACATCCCGGGGCCCCTGGGAGCAGCAAAGCATGCTGTTGAGGGGTTTTAACGTCATGCACTCCTTTTAAACGGTGCAGAAATCTAATCACATGCTGGTGCTTGCAAACGATCGAATGTCTGAACCCCAACCCTGGGGCTTCAGATTCTCAAAGCCTAGAGCACTGAAGCCGACGGAAAGTTCTAGCCGCCTGCCGCGTCTGTGCACGCTTCACGCGTTGCTGAACAGCTGCAAACTTCTCGAGGATCCAAGTATCCTCGCGCTGTGAACATCCTAATGTTGGATTCTGAATGCTAACTTACTTAGGGCTAATAGGGAATAAGGGAATAGATATACATATATATATATATGCTCGCACCCCCCCCCATGATCCACCGAAGAGGTCTTTTTTTGGTGAAAATCGTATCTCAGTTTCGTTCATGTACATATATGCAGTCCCTTCGTGGAATCCTGGAGTCCTGGACTACTGATTTTGGATGTGCTCCTGGTTCATATAAATCCCTTATTAAATTCAATTAGATCTAATACGAAAATCATGGAATCCTAGGTTCCTGGTTTTGGAATGGATTCTGGTTCATTTGAACACCTTATAGAATTTAATTAGAATTAATATGCAAATCCTGTAATACTGGATGCTTGTTTAAATGAAGCCTCTACATAAAACTGTTTGAATTAATACCGAAGTGTTGGAATCCTTCAAGTA